ACGTACAGTAGTACCCTTTTCAGAAACAAATTTCAAGGATTTTTCTGGGACTTACACTAATTTTTCCAGGGCTCCAAATTTCACCAAAAACATACCCTTTCCTTCTCAAGATTTCAAATCACTTTTCCTTACCATCTACATACAATTCTTCTAACATAAATTCTGAAAACGTTGTTTGAGTTATGCAGATACAGAACCTGCTGTCTTCTTCCATTTTTCCAGTCCTGGAAAATGTCAGAATAAAATCCAGGTTGACCAGGACCTGTACAAAATCTGCTTATGGACTGAGACAAAGTTGAGGTCCATAAAAATGCAAAAGAAAAAGTAGGCTAATATCCAGCCATTTTGACTGAAGCTGGGTCAGTAAGATTCATTATAAAGATTCTGTGTAATAAGAATCCATTTCAGAAGCCTATCAGAATATAACATTTCCTCTATATTACTTACTGATTCTGTCAGCTGTATCATAAAGTTACTACATTTATGTATGTGGATCCTGTCAAACCTGCTTAAAATAGTTTACTTACCATGGCTAGTTCTTTGCCTGTTGCCTTTCTGAAAGCTTTTGTCCATTTGATTTTACGAGGATTTCTTTTCATCTTAAAGTTCTTGTGGCATTTTGAGCGGCAAAATCTGAACAGCTAGAATGACGAGATATTTAATGGGTCACTTCAATTTTAAGAACAGAGTGTAATAGAATTAGACAAATAGTTCACGAGGACGGCTACCAAAACAACTCCCCACGACTCCTTTTATCACTTCGACCCTCGCACGCATACAAACTGCCTTACAAACACAAAACTCTGTTGCAGTGGAAACGTCTCTCGCGAGCACTGTCAACGTAGTGCTGTATCGTTACACAATAAGTAATTTCTCGCTGAGGTTTATTATGCGATGTATCGCAGCGACTTATTACCTCCGGCGTGAACCCCGATAAAATATTTCAATAAACTTAAGAAAACGAGAGCTTACTTTACAGTCGTTTCTTACAAATACTGTTCCATGGCCTGGGTAAATTGTTGACGAACAGAAAAAGCACTTCTCTAGACGCATGGTCCCAATGTGAGACGGAAAGATAATGGTCGTTCGGTCGATAATGGTTGGATGGTTGCAGATGATTTGATAAACGTCAGTCACAAGTCAGCGGAGTACTTCAGTAAGTAATCTCGAGCCCAAGGTCATTTTGGCTCCTTGTCAGCGGTATAGTAACCAATTACTAGGTGTGTTGTGTATGGAAAATCAAAATTGTTTGTTTCATCTTTACATGCTCACTTTGGGGGCTGGTTGGCTGCATGTGATACTTTAATGCATGTGATGCTTTAATGTGACAGCGTGATGCTGTTAGTGAGCTTCTATGCGCTAGCTGATGTTTGGCTGTTTAGCCGCGTGATGCGGTTCCAGTTAATACCCACTAATTGACCCTTGCTCACCATAGAGTCTCCTGTAGCTCAGTGGTTAGAGCATCCGACTAGATCACGGAGGGTCGTGGGTTCAAATCTCATCTGGAAACTCGATTTTGCTCTGAAAATCACTATGTCCATTATAATAATAATAACAATAATAATGCGAAATTTTGATTGTCGAAGCTAAGAAAATATCATTCATTATCATATTGAAAACAAAACCTCATTAAAATGAACTTTCAACGCACTTTAAAACACGCCTT